AGGCGGCCGGCCGCGGCGGGGCCGAGGGAGCGCCCGGCGCTCGGCCCAGCCCCGCCGCCCGCCCGCCCGGGGCCGTGAGCGGCGGCGGGGCGGGGATGCCCGCTCGGGCAGGAAAGTTTCTTCCCCGCGGCGGCTCGTCCGCTTCCCGCGCGAACTTCTCCCCGGCCCTCCCCGGTAAGTGACCGCGGCCGCCCGGGTCCTCCGTCCGCCGCCGACCCCCGACCGACGTCCTGCCGCGACGGCGGGAGCTGCGGGGCCGGACTGGCCGGAGCCAGTGGCGGCCAGCGAGCCCCGGGGGCTGGTGCCGGCGCTCGCGGCAGCAGGAGCCCGGCGAGCCCTGTGTCTGAACCCCCGGGGGGAAGGGGTTAGCTCAAGTCCTGTTAGCACTGTCAAAGCTGTATTTGGGCTTTGCCAGGCAAGGTCGTGATGGTGCTTGCGGGCTCTTCGCAGGAGCCGGCAGTGGCGGCGGGATGGGAGTGCATGGGGCGGGTCGCGGTCCGTTCGTGCGGGACGTGGCTCCAGTCCCCGCGGGTCCCGGCTGGATGGTTTCATGGCACCGCGGCCGCTTGGCCGTGCCCTCCTTCTCCTGTCGAACGCTGCTATCGCCATCGCCGAAACTAAGTGCTAGGCGATGCTGGACTGGGAGCGTTCCTCGGAGCTGGTGACCATCTGTTATCGCCGTGGAGAGGAGACGGGCAGCTGGCTAGTGGGGAGCAGAAAATGAGATCAAGGAATCGTCAGTTAAAACAAAGCATGCCCCGATAATTACACTTTTGCATCAACAAAATGCTTTCTCTGTCTTTTTTCTTTTCTTTTTTTTCTGGTTTTTGTTTTTGTTTTTTTTTTTTTTTTTGATAAACAGTTCAGCGATAGGAAAGACAAATCTGCTCTTTTTTTGAGCGTGCAGCACCTCGGAGAGTAATTTAACAACGTCCTTGCTGACAACACCCATCTTTTTTCTGGGGAAAATACAAACAGAGTAAATGGGACACAATATTACTGCATACGTGGTAAATCTGGCATTAGAACAGAAAAGAGATGAGATTTAAAGACTGAACAGGGGAAGAGGAGCAAGGTTTTAAGGTTTAATTTTTTTTTAGGTGCTTACTTAATCGCCTTTCAGTGCAATTAATTGAACCTTTTGAGTCGTATTCAGTGCTGTCATCTTTTGCCCCTCAAAACAAAAATAATAGGACACTCAGAAAGAGAAAGGGGGGAGGGGATCCTGCTAGTCGGTAGCATGAAGAAATAGGTTCCAAAAAGAATTGCAATAGTGCAGGAATTGCTCCTACATGCTGTCGTTTATAGCTCAGATCACTGGAACAGAGAGATGACTTCTGATGTTCCAGTAAGACAAAAATCGCAAATGCTCAATGTTTAGTCCCCCACCAGTTTCCCTGCAAGCACTCTTTCTGGTTTCCCCGGGTGACTTGCAAGGGTTCACTCCTCTTTTTAATAGTATTTGACCTGGCATCTCTTACCTGCCAGCCACCATCTCTCCTTTCTGATGGCGGGAGGGGGTAAGGGATGAATTCATTGGCGTTACATAACAGTTACCTGGAGCATTGCACATGTTCCCAAACTAGGGATGCCTCTGGACCACAGGCGGGAGATGAATTTCTGTAATATTGCAGATCGAGTGCAAATGGCTAGGAAAAAACTTTCACAGGACACCACTTTCCGGTGTTCAGATGTTTCCCTTGTGCATTTTACAGTAATTCCTTTCCCACTCATTTAAGCAAGACAAGTAATATGTTTAACCCTCCCTTCAGTAATGTGTAAGTAGCGAAATGAAACAAATGGTATCTACAGATCAAGTATACTGCCTTCCTGCTTTTACTTCCCCCATCCCACTCAAACCTGCATGACATCACTAACTACAGTCAGTGTGTGGTGTAACCTCAGAGCATATTAGGGAGTGGGGCTCGACATCCTCTGAGCTCCGGTGCTTTGCAAACCCCCTCTGAGACCAGAGAGATAATTTTTTTTTGTTTACACTAGCTGATACCACTATCTCTATCATTTACCTGGAATCTAAAGAAATTGATTATCTGTTTGGCAAGAGCAGAGTGGGGCACGTGGCTGCTTTGATGCTGTCAGTCTGCCTGTCTCTTTCTCACTCACAGGAGCTGTGTGGGCAAGGGAGATCTGCCTGTTGATGTCAACTCCTGTCCCACTTTTTCAAGGTTTTAATTAGCAGGATTTTGAAGGAGGAAGAGTAAATAGAGGCATCTCTTGTGTTGTGGGTCTGTCCTTGGTCCTCATCCTCTTCTCTCTTTCATTGCAGGAGCTGGAGTGGCCGTAGGGGGCAGTGCGCTGGTAGCCAGCCATGATCGCCACTGGAGGCCTCCTGAGGATCTCGGCTAGGAAACAGGACCCCTTGCGACCCCAGAGCCAAGTCCCCAAACGCAAACGCAAGGCTAAAAAGAAGCGCAAGAATGACGTGGTTGTGGTGAAAGGCAAACTCAAGCTGTGCTCCCTCTCAGGGCTCATTGCCCTCTGTGGCATCCTGGTACTGCTGGTGGGCATCGCCTTGGCTGTGGTGGGCTACTGGCCAAAGCCCAGCCAGGTGTACAGAGAAGGCAGTGTCAGTGCAAGCAGGCACCTAGCACCGCATGGTGTCACTCCCAAGTACGACTCCCAGAGCCAGGAAGGGGCACAAGCAGGGATCCATCCAGAGTCACCCCCCACAGCCAATACCTCCACCACTACTACCACCAGTGGGTCTTTGCAGTCCTCCCCGACTTCCTCGTCCCCCCAGGCCTCAGTGGGTTTCCTTTTCCGTCTTTTCTCAAGCTACTTGCATTCAGACAAGCTGAAGGTGTTGGGCCCTCTCATCATGGGCATTGGCATCTTCCTCTTCATCTGCGCCAATGCGGTGTTGCACGAGAACCGCGACAAGAAGACCAAGATCATCAACCTGCGTGACCTCTACTCCACCGTCATCGATGCCCACAGCCTGCAGGCCAAGGACGGAGGCACCCCGCCCTCGGCCCCTCTCAACGGCTTTGTCAACTACATGCAGTCCCGGGGCCTGGAGCTAAAGCCTGGTGGTGAAGGCCTGGGTGCTGCAGCCATGCTGGCCAAGAGTTCCTGGCCACCGGGACTGGGTGTCTCCCTTTCTCCGCCAGATCTCGCGTCCTCACCACGACGTTCCTCCTTCTGCCCCCCACCACAGCCACCCAGCCTGGCTGAGGCCGTGTACAGCATCTGCGGGGAGCGTGCTGCCCTTGCTGGTCACACTGTCACCAGCCCTCCCTGCAGCCCACCAGAGAGCTGCGACCAGTGCAGCACAGCCAGCTCCATCGTTGGCTCCTCACTGAGCGCTTTTGCCCTCCTGCCCTTGGGGTCGGGCAGCGGAGTAGGAGACTGGCAGAGACCACCTGGTGAACGGGGAGCCCAGGAGATCCCTCGAGGAGAGTTTGAACTGAGCCTTACCAACCTCAGCAGCAGCCACATCAAGGGAGGCTGTGGGACAAGGAGGCACAAGCTGGTTCTCAGGCGGCAGAGCATCAGCTGCTTGCCTGATGCCAGGCCTCCCCTTTTCCCTGAGCCGCCTCGGTCACCAGCTGACAGTGGGGTCCTGGACTCCAGCCTCTTGGTAAAGGCATCTTCTAGCTACTCCAAATCTCTGGATCTGGGGGGATCACCCCCCTCAGCCCCTTCTACCATCGCCAGGATGGACTCCCAGAGCTCCCAGTCTGAGCCTTCCAGCAGCAATAAGGGCTACAGCCACCTGGAGGAGGCAGGCACCTCCTTGGAGTCAGTTGCCAACACCACAGCCAGTAAATTTCAGGATTGTGAGGAGGAACTGGTTGAGAAGACGGACCCCCTCAAGGCTACCAGCAGAGAGCAAACAGGAGAGCAATCTCAGCAAACTCAAAGACAGTACACAAATAAGGAGAAACTCTTTATGATTTCTAGGTCACATGCTGCATTAGGGTTGGAGGATGGGGAGTTGGAGAGTACTGGCGTCTAAATAAAACAGAGAAGGCACGAGGACACCTTGCGTCCCTCCACACCTTTCCCCCTTCTTCATCTCCTTGTGGACTTAGGAAACCAATCAATATCCAAAGAGCTGCACTATGTTACCCTTGAAAATTGAATTCCATAAATCCTGTAGATGACTTCAGGAAGAAAAAAGGAAAATCCTTTCTGTCTGATCGTGATTGTATGTTTCATGCAAGCCAAATTGTATTAAATATCCACAGTCCAGGAAGTTCTTTGGATCAGATTAATACAATTTCAGACGGTATTGCTGTGCACTTTACTGTTTTGATTTCCAAGTGCCCCTTCTTCTCCTCTGATTTCTTTCTTGCTGATTTGCCACTAGCTGCTTGAACACTGCAGGCACCTTTTTAAGCTCAAAAGCAACGTGGTCTTCAGAAAGCAAGCTGAGCTCTATCTTTGTTTTGGTTCAATCACTAAAAAGTTTGCAAGGCCTTAAGGATGATGTACCTTGACAAAGAATGAGTTTGTTTAAGTTCTGGAAGAAAATAACAGTTTAGAAGAGACTGGAGCGGAACAGAGCTCTGGTGATTTAGTTAAAACCATTACATTCCTGAATCCAAAATGCATACTACTACATGATACTTTATTGAAGTATTATTACACATGTATTGACTAATAGCATTAAAAGATTTTTTTTTAATAAAACATTTACAAACAAAACTTCCATAAAAAGTAAGTCCTTTATTTTAGTAAGTAATTACAGGTATCAGAAACTGTTTAGTTTTATACTTTGAAAGATTATAGAGATGCTATGAGGCCAAAGGTTTGCTTATACTTTTAAGTAGGTAATTAATAATATAGATGTAATTTCAAAATAAATACTGGTTCAGTCTCTGAGAAACCACACTGTAATTCAGTCAGCAGATTCCGTCTCCATTTCTGACAGTGCTCTGTGACAGACAGCTGAAGAAATGTGAGATTTTGACAGGCTAAGGAAAAAAATTTTTTGAAGGTTTGATCTTCTATTCAGATTAGGTTTTTTGTGAGTAACAGATTAATCTTGAACTGCAGCATCTTCTTTCTGGATTTTTCACTTCCCTTATAACTGTTGCATCAAGTGTTTCTGCCGTTACAATTCCTGTTCGTGAATGCCTGTGCATAAGATTAATTTTGACGCATAATGATAGCCCTGTCGGTCTCTTAGCAGTTGGCCATATTGAAGTCAGCAGAGGTTTTTCACTGAGTTTAGCATGGTGAGAATTTCTTCCTGCATGAGAAAAGCATCAGGTTTCCTGAAGAATGCCTTGTCTGTAGGCAGATTTTTGGTAAATTGATAAGCTGTTTCATTTTCATAGCTGCAGCACGGCAGGCACTCGTATTTTGCCAAAACAGCTTTATGTGCTCAGAAGATTTTGTCAATACTTCAGATTTTAAATATGAATGTGGCATTTCTCCACTATGGGAAGAGAAATCCACATTGAGCAAACACAATGTGTAAACAGACAGAAGTCTTTCTGTTGCAATTAAATTTTTTCCTGTGGTTCATGTTTTAAAATACTTAGTTGCATATTTACTTACATTACAGTACATTGTGACAGGTAATATAACTATCACTAAAGACAATTGCTTTTAGTAATTCTGCAGAATTCTGTAATAAGTAGGGCTAATTTAAAAGACAAGAAGAAAAAAAAAGAAAAAATAATTTGTCATGTCAGAGTCTTGAAACTGAAGAAGCAGAAAGTGCTTGTGCTTGTTCTCTTGAGCAAGAGAGACATCCAGGTGGCAATATCTTTCCTCCTATCGGTGGCAACCAGTACACTGACAATATGAACATCACTGTGGCATTTTTTGCTATCAAACTGCTAGCACACAGCTGGCAAAAATCTGTTGTAAAACTGCCTGGATTGGCATGGGCTGGATTAGGCACTACAGGAAGTGGTGAGCAGGTGTCTCAGCTGGCGCTGGCATTTGCATGGGACTTTCCTTTCAGTTCTCCATAGGCATGTTCTTCTACCTCTTCTCCTCTGACTTCCAGAAAGATGTATGAGATGTATCTGAGCAGTGTTTCCTGGTGCTGATGGAGATGCTAGTTATTGACAGAACTGAAGACATCCTGTTTGTTATTTTCCACGCTAAAACTGTCCATGGAGGTGCAAGGGAAGACGTGAGTTGTGTGTTACTGGGGCATGGAGTCCTCGGGAAGATGTGACAGGAATTTGTTTTATTCTGAGAGGGGGTAAAATATGCTTTTTAAAATATTCTTCATAAATATTTCTTCAGTCATCTGAATCTACAGTGTGCTCTAAAAAAAAAAAGGCAACTTTAAAAAACCTTTGGTTACTCCTTTGATTTGAAACAAAGCAGGCAGTAATTATTCTAGTGATTAATTTACTGCAAAGCTTTCTGAATGGCAAAATTATAAAAGAGTTCAGCATTAATAAGTAAAATTATAGCTTGTTCCTGTGTTGCCAGAAAAGACGTGAAACATGAACTTTCATCAGTCGAGATGTACTTTTTAATAACAGCAGCTAGAAGTGATTTGTAACATATAGATTAATAAGCAGAGAAAGCTACCTCTCTCTCTTTGTAAGACATTATTTTTGCAAATTTATTAATTAAAACTACTTGTTGAGCAGTTTATGCAGAGATGTAGTTGTAGTCAGAAACTTTTGTTTAAAATTCAAGGCAGGAAAGTTAGTCTAACACCCCAGTGTTGAAAAACGACTCAGAGATTCAACCCCTGTGCACCAATCATGACTGCTGTTAGTACCACTAGCCTTGGAGAGAAACATAGCAGCCAGTAAGGAGCTGAGCCTTTCTTGGTGATGCCCACAGGTGATGTGGGTGCTGGGGTTTGTGCTTTGACTGATTATTGAGTCTCTGAGCTGGCCCTGACTGCTTCTCCAGACTGTCAGGCTGCCTTTTGGCCATCATTTGTGCATTCTGTCACATGCTTATCCATTTTCCTCCAATCCAGTCTCTTCCTTTTAACCTTCCAGCTCCAGTGTCCTGCCACCTAGTGCTTCCTCCACAGTCCTTCTCAAGAGACTAGAAGCTGCCTCTACATACCAGTATCCACCTGCCTGCATGTTGCAGAAAGAGATGGGCTGTCTCACATGTTTATTAATAAGAAATGTATTCTTTTAAATTAATTAATTTTAAAAAATGTATTTATGTTTATGAAGAAGGAATCATTAGTCCCTGTATTTAAGAAGTGATATCCCTGAAGGTATTTTGAGCTGGAATACCAGCCATAAATTTTTGCTATGGAAAAATTAGATTTTGGTTTAGAAATGTGTGTTTTGGTTTGCTTTGCTTTTTTAGCATAGAAGTCCTATGATATTTATATAAAATTTCCAGAGGAAAGTTTGTTTCTACCTGAATCTTCAGAATACTCCCATCACTAGATAGAAGGCTGCATCTGTTCATTATGAGTATAGATGCTGTTTGGACCAGTCTGAGGACAGGCAAATGCCCTAATTGTACTTCAGTCATGCTGCTGTTTGTTACAAAATCCTCAGGACTCTGGAGAAGCTGCTGACCCAGTTCTGGCTCAGTTTTCACTGGCTAGCAAAGTATTTAAAATCCTTGCATTAACCTGGCTTGCTTGGCTGGACTGATTTACCAGACTCCCCAACTGTTGACATATCAGCTGATCTACAAAGGACCAGATTTGTTACCCTGTATTGTTTAGATACATTTTTAACAGCTTTTTCAAGGACTGATGATGTCCAACAGTGAGCAACAGTGCATGTACAAACATTGAATTGGGTAATTGTTAACATAGTTTTACGTCTGCAGTCTGAAATACAGATTTTATGGATTGTTATAGATTTTCATAACAACCAAATCAGTTTACACAGAAGTAGCAATAAGACTTCAATTAAACAACATTTTTTATTAAAAGTAATGGATGTGGCAGAATGATAAATCTTATTTGATTTCAGTAGGAGGAATAGCCTTTGATAATGTTTAATAGTTTTTCTTTCTACACAAAACCCACACAAAATACAAGTGCTCAGTGGTAGCTGACTAGTAAAATCTTAATAGTCAATAAAAGTATAGATTTGGGGGGCATTTTTTTTTCTTCTAGGAAAAAAAAAAGGTTTCTCTATCACTTCTCCAAGACTGTCGGTAGCAATAACATGATGCTTTAGCCAGGTCACTTTAATTACTGTTTTTCAGTTTGGGCCTAGAAACAGTGAACAAGGGGCACAGCATGTGCAGGCACAATCTAAGAGGATAAATACAGTATCACAGCCAGAGGAAAAAAGTCTTCTATGGAGGAGTATACTGTTACTATTTCATTTTAGAAGCCAGACTTTATATTTACAGCTTCTAAAAGCTCCAAAACAGAAAAGTTTAAGTAAGCACACTAGAATTTGTGCTCTGCCATTTAGTTTTCACTGTTAACGTGGAGACTCTGGAGGAGTCTCCCAAGAGGGAGACCCTGGAGATCCGACAGAGGTGTGCATGATCAGGTGAAATGGCATTGAAGTTTGGATGGGGGAACTAGGCTATTAAAAAGGATCTAACTGGATCACAGGATAATTCAGGAACTAGAGGAGCATGGCTTGTGTTTATCCACTGGCTAGTCTTTTATCCACATTTTAATTAGACAGACACAGTCAAGCCACAGTACTACTTTTAAAGGATTTTTTTAATTTATTGTTATTCTTTTAAAATTATGTTGCAATGAGAAGAAAGCTTGTTTGGTGAAAGTACGAAAAGAGATTCAAACTAAACAAACGTCAAATATCACTATTAAAAACTCAGTCTCTGAGTTTTCCTTCAGTGTCCTCTGCACCAAGATGTTTCAATCTGAGATTTTTGAGTATTGCTTTTTCTTTTTTCCTTTCTTCTTTCTCTGCATGACAAGTTTGGTTCTAGTGAGCACACGTAGCTGATACTCTCAGACTGGAAGGTAGAAATGGGGAGAAATTGTTGGGCTTTAGAGAAGCACCTTGTTCCACGCTAAACTTCACAGTTAAAGTAAAAAATGGCAAGTAAAAGGTGAATATTCAGCATCCAAGTGATTAATACATTATTTTCATAACGTTTTAAATGAACTCCAACTTTGAAGAAAACATAATCCACAAGATCAGAGTATAGTTATTGTCAAACAAGGGAAGAACCATCACAGTATTTACTGAAATATCTAAATATGCTGAGACGAATCATGGTTTGTTTTGTTGGTTTTTTATTTTCTGTGATCTGTAAGAGATAAGACATTGCAATATTCACCATTGCATAAGATAAGATGATGTAACATCACACAACCTTGGATTACATTTTGTTCATCACTCATAAGATTTGGCATGATCCTCCCTGACCTGCCTGGGACCATGCCATACAGTTCCCATTTTGTTGCCAAAAGTTTAATCAGCCATTTCTAAAGGAGCAGGACTTAAGAACATGACCATCAGTTCTGGCAAGAGTTGGAGCTGCTAAAGACTGCAGAGGTAGCTTGATACAGCTTGCAGTGCAGCTCCCTTCACACCTTGGAGCAGCACAGAAACCTGTGGCAGGGTCTCACAAAAAACTTCCTGCAAAGGTACCTAAGAGCCACCAGAGTCAGCTCCATAAGGATAAATCCCCAATGAGCTAATATGATACTTCTGTGACACCATAAACTAGCCTTCCTCCCTCATTCCTGGAGTGTACTTTAGGTCTCTCTGAGGGTTGTAGCATGTTTTTACTTTGCTGACTTTATAGTAAAAACCCATTTTAAAGAAATGCAGTTTTGTTTCAGAGTCTAATAGAAACTATTATTTAAAATGCTTGTGGAGTCCCTATTAAATTAGCATCAAATGACCTCACAGTTCTTAATGTACTTCTCTCTAACATGCCTGGGTACAGAGCATGACTGTCTTCCTCTGTAAAAACAAGGCACAGAGATACAGCCACAAAGTGTGTGAAGACCAGATTTTTTTTTTTAAAGGGAGAAGGGTATAGGCAATCCGTATGCAGTGATGACAGCATCTGGTATCATGCCTCTAAGTGGTGTTTCCAAACCATGTGAGTAGCCTGCTGTGGAACAGAGCCTTGAACGCTTGTCCTCCAACACGAGATCCTTCAGGTTTAAGAGCCTCTTTCTACACCTGAGGCTAATCTATTTCACTGTTTTTTGGACTCATCAAACACAATATTTCATGAAATAACTTAGCAAGACCTCCCTGCAGAATATTTAAGGACACAAGAGATACTAGACAGCTGATGACGTTCTGTTTCAAATGAGGAACTTAAAATGAGAACAGGTAAAGTGACACTGCTTATTACTTTACTGTGGTAACACAGCATAAGGTGATGATAGTAGTAACTCTTTGGGTTTCAAAAACTTAAAACTAACTATCTTCCGGCACTGCTAACGTGATTAACATTACAGGCTGCCTTGGGGCTTGAAAATGCAAACAGAACAGTTCTTGCCCTTGTGTTTGTCTTTGCAATGTGTACAGTGTCTAGAGCAGCAGAACCGAAGAAAGAACGGGTGCTGAGGCTGCATCTTTCACCACAAGCAAGCTGTGGAAGGAAGTTGTTTTGTTTTAGACCATTAAACTAGAGTTAGCGCCTCTCACCTAAATGAAGGAATTGCACTCTTTAGAGTACTGTTTGGGTCTAACATGCAAAGGAAAGGCAAGAAGGTCTTCCTAGCAAAGTTCTGGCACACAGAAGGGAAACCTAAATAGAAGCTGTAGCATAGTTCTGGGATGAGCAAGCTTCTGTGCTGCATCAGTGTTATGTCTTGGTAGCCATTTGGCTAGTACTAGCTTGTCGCTGACAATCTGGAAAAATAGGAAAAGGTCAAATGCTTTTAGCCATCGCCAGTTTGTAGTCAGCTGCCAGCATAGTGTCTAATATGGCCCAGGAGTTACCCAAAGAGCAAAAGAAGCCAACAGGAGTGCAGGTTGCATCATCACCGATGTCACCAAGAAGGCACTAATGAAGATAGCAAGCAAAGCAACAAGTCACTGAGTTTCTGTTGCACTTGTCCTTGCAGTTTTGGATTGTCCAATGTGGACAAAAGGAGGAACCACAAAATGTTGCAGTTGTACCAGCACCGGTCAGTAACGCTTCCACCTATAGCTGGCTTTGGCTTCACTCATCACAACCTCTGTAAGAGCTCTCTGTATTTCACGGTCAAATTGGTCCAGTCCTCTACCCAAATAAACATTTTATTCTGCCTGATGATTCAACAACAGGTTGAATTCTCATATAGGCAACAGATTTCTCAACAGCAATGTTTTCTGGCAACTATGTTATGTATGTTCAACCCCATGCCAGAAACTAAGTACCACACAAAATGTTCAGTAGAATGTCTTGATTTAGTTTACAGTTGTAAATGAATCTCACTGGCAATTTAGGCAGATATACTCAGGGAACTCTGCTGCCCTAAAAATAATAGAACTATGTGTTTCAGCAAACCTTATAAAGAAAATGAACACAAGTGTTTTGTTTGATCCCAGCCTAGAGAAATCGTGGGAGACAAGAAACAGATTCAAATCAACAACAAATACTTTACTTAGAATTGTCATTTTAAAATTCAGTTTCTTGTTAGACATGAAATTTCCACCACATCAGTGTTCAGACATTCAAATACTTTGGTAGATTCAAGATCTCATGTTAGGAAATGAAGGCATAAGTTATTAGAATCATTTTAAAATGAGTTGTGGATTTTTCTGAGCAGTTGCAATACTCAGAAGGTGCAGGGGAAATAAAGATTACCTGCTAAGTATATTTAGATGTTTCTAAAACTTTTCTTCTTTGGCACAAAAACGGAATACATGTAGCAATGTGGGAGATGGAGAAGTTTTTTGTCAGCAGGAGCTTCAAGTGGCCTTGGTAAGTAGTTTATCCACTTCAAGCACATGCTGGTAAGTGTTCTATACTATGAGGCTGGATTGCATCACTCATAGTAAATGGAAGCAATATGCAGAATGCAGCTTTCTCTTGAAAAATCTGTGTTTGATCAACATAGGGAGTGTAGTTTTCATGACTCTGAAATAGCAATTAATGCACTGTTTTTACCATCATAAAATATAGAAGCATTAGCAAGTCTCATTCTATCGAGGAGAGTCCTGAGAATTGCTCTATTTCTCCTCTGTAAAGGGCTATAACTTAATCAGCTTCTGTTTAATTGAATAATTCTGTTACTGTACAGAGCAGAAACAATTGTTACATGTGCTTGAATCTGCATGCTGCAGCAACACGACATAAATAAATCATCACAGTTATGCACATCGAAAAGACATTATTTCTACATAGCCCAAAGAACAGAGCCAAATGCTAAAAACTGAAATTCTGCTGCAACACATGGAGTAACATATGTACTCAGAGTAAAACAGGTGTCATAGATGGAGAAGGCAACGAGGAAGTAGCTGATCTCATCACAGCAGTGATTTAAAGGCATAGGCATAGTAATCAGAGCTGTTTGAAATGGGAGATTAGATTGAATCTGGCACAAGTTGCCCAAAAAAAAAAAAAAGAAGAAAACCCACATAGTAACTGAAGGCAACACCAAGGAGCCCACCTGCAGCCCCAAAAGGAGAGAGGAGCTCTCCCCACCAGTATGACATCATAAGTCAAGCACAAGGGAAAGGGCCCAACTTAAGGCAGGAGTGTTTCCCATAGCAGGAGATCCTTAGTGCTAAGTTGCTGCTATCAGGCCCCACCACTGTGGCTGGTGCATCCTTGCGTCCGTGTGGATGTTGCACCCCCAGAGACTGGTGGAGTATTTCCTAAAATTGCAGGCTGCAGCACAGAGACTGTCCCTTAGTAAGTGAGGAATAGGGACACGGTAGCAGCAGCAGCCTCAGCATGACTCAGCTCACCCTGTAGAGGAGCCCAGCACTCTCAGGAACAGGAGCATGGAAGTATGATTTCATAGAATGGTTTGAGTTAAAGGGTTAAATGGTTTAAGTTTAAGGAAGGGACTTTCAGGGTCATCTGGTTTCATTCCCCTGCCCGTGGCAGGGTCACCTTCCACTAGACCAGGTTGCCCAGAGCCCCATCCGTCGTGGCATTGGACATTTCCAGAGATGGGGGATTGACAACTTCTCTGGGCAACCTGTTCCATTGTTGTACCACCTCACAGTAAAGAATTTCTTCCTAATAGCTAATCTAAACCTGCTCTCTTTCAGTTTAAAGCCATTCCCTCTTGTCTTATCACTACATGCTCTTGTAAAACATTTCCCCCTGCCTCCACTCTCTCCTCATTCTCCACACCCATTACACACATCAGTACTGGCTGATATGTTTACATTTGCTCCAAGGTTGGAGCCAGCCTGAGGCAGGACAGCCCCTGACACCAAATCCCGCAATTTGCTGCTTCTTCTCTGCATCATCTGAGTAAAATGAAGACTAGAGGGAGAATCTGTGCCCCTTCTGTGTGATCTTGCACCTTCCTTTGTGGATGCTGCTTGTTTAAGTGCTGCTCTGCAAGGCCCTGATGTATGCTTGCCAGTACATTTGCTGCAATCCCATTTTGTGCTGACCCCACTTTCCAGTTGCAGTAAGTCAGTGGTACACTTGTTCAGTTATTCTGAGTAGGATTACAGCAGCTCAGGGACTTGTGATGGCTCAGTGCCCCCATTGCAACAGGGACTCTGCAAACCAGAGCAAAATGGCCTTACAAGCAGCAGACTAACAGGTTGCTGAAGCCAGCTAGCCCAGAGCCTTTACCAGCTCAAAGGGGTGATGTTGGGCATCCTGCCCTGCAGCAATAGGCTGATCAAAAGTTTCCAGCTAGGAAATGCAGTCAGAAAAATCAAAGGAAGAGGTAGAAAT